ATGTTTTAGTGTTTTATGTTAACGGTGCTTGCGTTGCTAAGTTCATCCTGAGATTTGGAACCTGTATCTCATAAAATTGAAACCAACATAAAATATCTGGAAGTGTTACTTTCAAAAAATTTAGTTCAGGTATTTTGGATCATCTTACTCATATGTTATTTTGCATGTTCACTGAAAGTACAACAGAATTCATAAAGAACACCTTTGCAAGCGGTTTTCAGAATTGAGATTAGAACCCTGTTTAAAACACTTTTTTTTTTAATCAAAAATTTTTTAACCAGTATGGCCTGCAAAGCATTCATATAGATGGCAAATGAAGTTGGCTGAAAGGAAGTTGATCGTTTGGGTGATTGTGGAACTAAACTAGTGATAGACTTGTACATTTTACTCACTACTTCCTCTGCTGAAGATGCTGTTGACTCAGGGGAAAAAGATACCTCCTCTTCTAGCAGGGTGATCCCAGATGGAACAGATGGGAGATTAGACCCCTTGTTGCTGGTCCAAAACAGAAACTGGGAGGTGCCAAATTCCATTTTCTGAAAGTCTTCTGTGTTAATTTGTGTCTCTTGCAATCAGTGAAGTTGAAGAAAATACTTTTTCTGGGAAGTATCTAAGCAAAATAAAATAAAATTGTTACATTTACAAAAAGAATAGTGAACTTGATTTGCATATGCACTTATTTTCATGCAATTTGTTTCCTCTATGCAAATATGGCCATTTTTAGAGCAACTCATGCAGATGTCTGTTTGATTCTCTGTGGAAGTTCAAATAGTTCAAACTAGTAGCAGTTCCTTAACTATGGCATTAACTCCTTAAAGCAAGAACATAAACAATGTGGTGAGCTTTTCAGTAGCGTTTTACAGCTTTCAACAGGATAGTGTTCAGTGTGGAGCTTGTTTTTTAGACTGTATATTCTATTTATGATGTTTAATAGTATATGAACAACATGTTTTGGCCTCGATTACATAAAGGGAGGAATAATTTTTTTAATTCGTGGTATGCTAACTTTTTTGATAGTGTCTACACGTGATTTCTGTGAATATTTGTTTTCTGCAGAATGAAGTACAAGCTTAAGGTTTATATTTTGAACTGAGAACATGCTTTGGTATCACTAGAATGAAACACTTTGATTTTTACACGTGCCCCCCTCCCCCCCCCCGTATGGCAAGAGGTAGATTGGCATAAAGTTCATATAGTTACAATATGGAGCACCCACTTTCAGCCAGTGCACGAGCAGTGGGGGAACCATAGCATTGGGGAAGGGAGAGGAGAGCGTGGGAACATTTTTCTGCTTTACTTTATCAGGAAAAGATGCAAAAGGAAGAATGTTTATTTTGTACATAGCATGTTGGAGATCTCATTATAGAAAGTGTAAGGCATGTAGCATTATTCATATGCCTAGTGTTGAGAATTGTAGTTTTCCTCCCTCTAAATAAGTATCTCTTTAGATGCTGAAGGTATAAGCTGTGCCCTTTAAGCTTTTTGTTGATTTTATTACAAGGGAATATTGAAGCTGAAGAATTGAATAAGTACCTGTGGGTTTGACTATGAAATTGTCTGGAAGTAAAACACAATGATTTATCATGTTTATAGCTGTAGAAAATATGAAAACACCACTTTTTTTTCTATTCATTGCACTTATATTCTTTTAGGATATAGCAGTTTTATATATTGGCTAAATATCAGACTGTTTCAAATAATCAGTTCATCTTTAATATGCTTGTCTAATTCAGTGCTGTTTAGCTTGAAAACCCCTTCTTAGCTTTTTCTACTTTTGATACTAGTTAACATTTAGATGTTTCATGATAATTTCTTAAGTTCCTCTGCAATGTGAAATTCATGTCTACTTAGGGAAAATAATCACCAATTTGCTTATACAATGCATATAAATTAAGCAGCTCTTTTGTTCCACCTACATTTATGTGCAATCAAGAAAACCAATTTAATCATGCTTTCAAATGTAAGGCACCGTAGGTTGTAAAGCAAGGAGAAAAATATTTTCAGCTATGCATATGATATCAAGACCTCCTAGAAAATTCAGTTTTTAATGTGTGTGTTGAATTTTGATGCATTCAGTGTGAATATTGAGAGAAGTATAAAGTAATTAGGAAAGTAAGTAAATCAGTTTAGAGTACTCTAGTACGGGATGCTGAAATGTGTGTGGGAATTTCTGCTATTATCTGTTTATCATGTTTTAGAAAGTGGGAATATAAAGGGGTAATGGTTTTAAACTAAAAGAGGGCAGATTTCGACTAGCTAGAAATTCCGACTAGGAAGAAATTTGTTACAATGAGAGTGGTGAAACGCTGGCACAGGTTGCCCAGAGAGGTGGTAGATGCCCATCCCTGGAGACATTCCACGTCAGGTTAGGCGGGGCTCTGAGCAACCTGATCTAGTTGAAGATGTCCCTGCTCACTGCAGGGGGGGGTTGGACTGGATGACCTTTAAAGGTCCCTTCTGACCCCAAACTATTCTGTGATTCTATAAAAGGGTATTTGCTCTAGATCTCGGAAGCAGAACCATCTGCAGCAATGACTTCCTGAAAAACTTGTGTGTCTGTTGTTTTAGTGGGTGTGAGACTATCCGGCTTTATATGTTGTTTTGTCCTGCTTTGTCTTGCCTACTTCTTTATCTGTGGGATTTTGTATCATATATATGTGTCAAAACACATTATGGGAATGAATTGACACCTTGTTTCTTCAGACAGGTGGAAATAAATTTTGACTGAAAATAGAAATCTTTATTTGCCAACCATTTTGGCAATATTAATACAGGTTTCATATCTCAAATATAAGAAGCTAAAGGGGCATTTTTTTGTTGAATTAAAGGGCTCCTTCCTGTTATATCTGGATTATTCTCTAAGTGCTCCAGGAAAAAAACCCACACCTATTATGAATTACTGTTTGATGTTAGCCTTGTACATCACAATCGCTGCAGTAAGGAAAAGAATGTCCTTATTTGATCAAATCAAGTTACATGTGTGCGTAGGAGAGGGAGAGAGTGGCCTGAAGTGTGACTAATAGCTAGGACCAGATAAACGGATTGAACAAATTGTATTTTTTCTACGTTATACTTTCCTTCTGATAATGTCATGACACTGTTAATCAGTGTCTTTTGCAGTCTCAAGAAATAGAACGTTTCTCTCTCAAAGTGAGGAAGACTGTAAGAAGTTAGCTGTTTAAGACAATAGTATGGGGTTTCCCACCCTAACGTAGCTGGTGGGATAAGAGGTAATTGGGTCAATGCAGTTCTGACTCTGGCACAGAAGAAAGGAAGATGATTGAGGTGGGATTAATTAACAAGCTATAAATTCATAGTCCATTAAAAAAGTTGTATCACACACACATGTAAATACATGTATGTGTATATAAAGATATGTAAATGATCTCCTAGGATAACTGTATGGGTATAGGACTCCAACCTCTAAACATGATCATGAGATGCCAAGCCCCTGTCCAGTTAAGAGCTGTGTTTGGCTAAGGGTAAGGCTTAAAAATCTTCATGCCCCTTTTCCAGAAGCTCCAGGTCCTTCAGCCGGGTCTTGAACATCTCCTGCTGCAAACTGACCCTTCTTACTGCTCAGGCTCTGTTCACCTTCCTACAAATGCCTTCAGGAAAGCACTCTTGCTCTCCAGCTGCACCGGAGTTTGCTGGTAGGAGCAGGGCAGTACTAGAAACTCTATTTCCTCTGTGCTTTCATGTCTGGTGAGATTGCTATTTAGGCCAATTTGTTATGCAATTTTGCCTCATATAATACTTTGCATATGATAGATGCTGTCCATCATTCTGAAATGGGATGTGTATTGTATTTTTCAGCTAATCTCAGTTAGGATATAGACAGATTTGTCTGCTGTTGTACTGAAAAAAGTTAAGGACCTGTATCTGTTGATTTAGTAAATTATTAGAATGAATGGGAGTCTCAGATTTCTGTAGTAATTATGGTGTGTGAAAAAGGTTTCATTGACTTAAGAATTAAGTTATTTAAAAAGGATGAGGTTAAAAAACATTATTAACTCCCCCTGAGCTCTGCATTAATAGCCTTCCACTGTTCTTAACTGTATAAGGGTTGTACTGGGGATTAACTGTAGTCTTGTTTGACAGTCTAGGATGGGAGAATTAATAAGAAAATATTCAGCAGTGTTGAGTTTAGTAACAGGATGATACAAAATTTTAACTGCCTTCTAAGCTGTTAGTGCAACTTTCCCTTCCTTTTAATTTTGCCTATTGTTGACAACATATGCTAAGAGAAGTATACCAGAACAGTGCAGGAGTTAAAATTTTAAACCTGCTCATTGTTCCATAACATTTTAAACTTTTTTTTTTCTCCTTCACAGGAAATGACCTAGAGGCCTTACAAATACATATGTGCATTTTTGTTCTGAGTCTACAATTGAGGGCAAATGCAGTCTGGAAGCACCACTTCTTAATGTTACAACGGAAACAACTACCTCAACAAACAAGGAAAGGGGAAGAAGGCTTGCAATAATAAACACTCTAATTTTTAATAGCTTCTACTTGCAAAGTCTTCTGTAAACAGAGTCCAGATTATTTTTTTTTTCCCTCCAGTATTAAGAAGAGACACTACAAATAAACTAATTTGGCAGACTGGATCTGTCAAGACATTTGAAGATATTTGATCTGCTAACATAAGGATTTGCTTTTGCAAGGAAGGAGCCTCTGCACTGCTTTTACAATCGCTGTTGATCGGTGGTTTGCTCCACTTTTCCTGGTATTACTAACGGGAAAATTGTATTAAGGTATTGCTTCTAAAACTATTATTTGCGTTGACAAAAATAACTTTTGTAGACTTAAAAGCAAGTGACGATAATATGCTCATGAAGAAATCATAGTTGATAACTTCTCTGCTCCAGCATTGCTTTTCTGTGTGCAGAGTGGAAGACCAAACAAGAGACAGAGCATTATTAAGATACTTTGGTTTGCTTTTTGAGTACAGTTTATAACTGCAGCAGGGCTGCACTGAACACTGAAAATACGAAGTCAGCAAATCTGCTGCCTTTCTCACTGCTGATACAAATTATACAGACGCTTGCCTTTTTGAAATGCCTTTTGTGAAACCTATGGCCACAGTCCTCCACTGTTACTATACATAACTATATATTTGAGGAAGGAATTTGACAAGTGATTGTTAATTCAAGAAATCTTTGGACAAGCACTCACTTATGTATTGCTGTAGTGCACAAGAAAGCAAAATGGACTATAAGCGGCGCTTTTTGCTTGGCGGGTCCAAGCAAAAAGTGCAGCAACACCAGCAGTATCAAATGCCTGAGCTAGGCAGGACCCTGAGCGCACCGCTGGCATCTACAACCCCAACATCCCCTTTGGTCTCCTCAGCTGCTGCGGGCAGCTGCAACCACCCTGTGTCCCACACTACTCCAATCGCAGACATCCAGCAGGGAATCTCCAAATATCTGGATGCACTCAACGTGTTTTGCCGTACGAGCACTTTCCTTACAGACCTTTTCAGCAGTGTATTTAGGAACTCGCACTATTCTAAGGCAGCTATGCAACTGAAAGACGTGCAGGAACATGTCATGGAAGCAGCGAGTCGACTCACAGCAGCAATAAAACCAGAAATAGCAAAAATGCTGATGGAACTCAGTGCAGGAGCTGCAAACTTTAAAGATCAAAAAGAGTTCAGCCTGCAAGACATCGAGGTAAGTTACCTTGCGGATACTGTTTTGCATGTGAATTTGTATCATTCCGTCTTAATTGAACTTCTCTTCAAAATCACTTCTGTGCCAAAGTTCTTTCTGAAGTTGTATTTGTGGGCAATGCTGGTAAAAAGAGCAACTCTTCTGTTATGTTTTCTTGGAAGTATTAAGTCATTTGCAGTGCCTGACTTCCAACTATGTTGAATTAGGTGTTTAGTGGATATTTCTGTATAAGAACTTGTACTCTATTTAAAGATTTCATGAAGCAAGAAAGATGAGTTATAATTAAATTGTACTACCTATATAATTCTAAGTGGTAATTTTTATGATTTAAACTTATAACCAGCAATCCAACAACCTCTTTCTCTGGGGAAATTATGCTTAGTTTAAAAAAAAAAAAAGGGGGGGGGCAAACCAAAAAAACCCCAAAACCCTGCCTCTTCAAACCAACTAAATAAAAGTTTTAAAGAGCTTTCTGTTTATATTAGCTAATGTTTCTAACAATATTAAGTCATCATATTCTAAATTAACCTATAGTTTACTTAATATTATCCATTCTGAGGGTAAACCTGAACACTTTGGGAGTGGCGTATTGTCATTAGTGTTTGTGTAAAACTGCATGCTAGTTGACTAATGATTGAACTTTGTGTAAAATAATGTTTTATCACTCTTCAAAACAATTTTTGTCTCTTTGAGCTCATGTGCTTAAAAGGAAAATACAGTGCTAGCACGAGAGATTTGTGCTGTAAAAGTTTGTCATGACTTTGCTATAATTTCCATATACCGGCAGCGAGTACCCAACAGTCGGAATTCAGAGGTGTTGAAGTTGAGAGGATCCCCAACTCTCGTCATGCATGGCTGGGTATTTCTCCTGTAGTAAATGTCACAATTATGTAACGGGCAGTGCTAAGTGATAGTCACGTGTGAATCCCTGGTGATTCCAGTAGTTCTTCATGTTTTGACATATTTCTTTACAGCAGTCTTTGCAAAGTTATTCTTACAGAATTCCATCCTGAGTGGAAAACTTATTTTTGAGTTCTCTTATTTCTGATTTCGATTTCAGGTAACTTTGTAGGGATGAATGGTATATATACATGCTTATCAAGCATTATCTGCTTGCTATAACTGCACAACTTACAGATGAAGTAGTGCTATTTCTAGTACATGCTTGTAGTGAGAAATACGACTGGCAGTTTTCAGTGTTGTGTACTTAGTATAGAAAGAAGTAAGATTGGCTATATATTTGTTATAAATGTCCTCTGTAGACTGATATTTTTGAAAACAGTCTAATAATGTCACTATGTTTAGCTAAGGCTGTAGGAAAAAAAATATATTTTTTTAAAAGTTAAAAATCTGTGTGAATTTATTGTAATTGAAGACCTTGATAACACCTGTGCTGAAAGACTTAATTAAAAAAAGCAAAAACATACGCAGCACTACCAGTCTTCTCAGGGCTTTTTGTGGACTTTGAAAATCTGTCTTGCGAAGTGTTGGCAACTATCTGTATACTGCTTTTATAACCTAGTCAAGCAATTCTAGGTGCGAATTGATGCCCTGCCCCACACGCTGTGTGGGGAGAGCGCTTCTTCAGCAGTGAGCGGAGCTCGCAAGCAAAAGCAAAGTGTCGTTTGCATAAGTTGGCTGCCAGCTTAAAGCAAAGGTGGAGAAACTTGCTTTGGTCCCTGCTTTACCTGTATAGACCTAACCCTTGTTCCTGAGCTCTGTGTGCACCTGCAGCGCGCTCTTCACCAGGCAGCTCCATGGTAGGAAGAAACGTAAAGAGAATGCAGGCAAAACAGCTGGATGGCTTGGCTTGCTTCCTAGGCATCTCTTGTGGAGACCGACCACTTGTCATTGTACTTTTCTTATGCCTTTTATTAATTAAAACTGCATCTTGCACATAGCTTTAAACAAGTAAATCCTGCATATTGATGGGAACTTTTGCATAATGAGACAAGTATTGCATTCTGCTTTTGCTTAAGACCCAGCAAAGGTGAAGGACTTGGCACTGACTCACATGGTTATTTCAGAAGTCAGGCAGGCAGCATGATTTAGATAACTTCAGTACAGGGGCAAGCTACTTGGATGATTGTGCCTCGGAAGCAGTTACCAGTTGCTCACTGTCAAAATGGAGCTGGGCAGAGGTCAGTGTAGAGAATATATTTAAGTTATATTAAGGTGACTCAGAAGTTCGTGATGTAAGTATGCTGGAAGACCTGCTGAATTAAAGATAATCTTGAATTGAACAAATGAGTTTTCCAGTTGGGATGGAATTCAGAGGTGAAAATGGAATGTTACAATGTTTAAATAGAAATCTTTAGCCTCACAAGAGGAGCCCACTGGGCAGCAGTTCTGAAGAACAGTTCTAGGGCTTATGGTAGTTGTATGTTGAGTAGGAGTCAGTGTTGTGCAGTTGCAAATAATAAATCAGTGTTGTTGCTATTCTGCAAAGAGGCAGTTGTCATGTATTTAACAGAACTATAACCTTCAAGAACTGTGAAATAAGCATTCAACTCTCTTCACTTTGGTTATTATGGCCTTAAACACCATTAAGCACCAGTGCACGTGCGCACCACTGCTGTTGCGCTTAGAGAAATAGTGAGCAACTGGAGAGACACCAGAGGAGAGTAGCAAGAGTAATCAGACATCCAGGAAGTAGGACTTCAGAGGACAAATTGAAAAGACTGACTCTACAGAAGAGAAGACTTAAGAAGGAAAATCAGAATTATTCAGGTATGTAAGAAACTGCTAGAAGACATGGCAGTGTTCTCCTCTTCATGCCCATGCAAGGTGGAGCAAGAGGTAATGAATTGAAATTTCAGAAGGAGAGATTCCTATTAATTGTTGTGGAAATACTTTGTCATGTTAGTGAAGCGCTGACGTGGATTGCTACAAAGGGTAGGGAGCCTCCATCGTAAAGAACTTACAGAACAGGTTAAACCTGCATCTAGCAAAACTGACCCAGGTGAAATTGTTCTTGCTTGGGACAGTAGGATGACCTTTTGAGAGCCTTTCCTACTCTGCTTTTCTGTGATTAGAAGACTGAGCTATTTATGCTGAAATTAAAAAAAAAAGGAAAAAACAAACCACGCATCTATAGAAAAGTAACATTTCATAAAACTACCAGCAGGAGTAAAAAACTCATAATGGAAGCAGAAAAATACCGAGGTAGGAGGACAGTACCCCAAATTCATGAGAAGGACGTGAGAATGAGGTGTTTTCTATGCATGAGCACAGCTAAGGAAAACATACTTTTCCTAAGCCTTCCTCAACAAAGGCTGTATGTTTTGAGGAAGAATGAGAAATATAAGTGGAGCGGGTTTGGCTTTAGGAATTCAGGAGTGCGCTATAGCTTTTCTCAGGTGCCACACATCCTCATCTAGTGGGCTCTAGCCCCCAGGAAAGGCAACATCCAGAAAACTTCAAGTTCTAATGAACATACACTGACTTGGATTTGGACTAAGAAAGGTTGTACAACCTGGACTGTAGCAGCAAGTGGGTGAGGTTTTTAATTTATTTATTGTTTTTTGGCAGAACAGAGCTTGCTAGTTCAGAGCTGTCCTCAAGATGTGTAAGAAGGTGACTTCTCTTGATCAAAGTATCGGTGACAGATGGAGTTTCCCAAAGTTTCTTAATTTCAGAAATGCAAATGCTGATTTTTATTTTCTGCCTTTCCTTTTCCCTGTTCAAAAAACTTCGAGTTCTCAGGTGTTTTGTGCCTGTATGGGTGAGGAATAGCTTGGAAACTGTGGGGAATGAGATTGTGTTTTATGTTAAGTTTTCCAGATCTGTTCTTAAAGTTTTGTAAGCTGGAAGAATGCAGTAAAACTGTATTTCTGTTAATAAAAGCAGTAAAGGAAATCCTAGGGGGTGGGAATTTAAACTGGGAAAAAATTTGTATATTTCCTCATCTTTTCTGAAGCTTTACAGCAGCCTCAGTACTGCAAAATACAGAGAATGAATCTTGTTTTAGTTAACATGGTGCTTGTGTGTTGTTTTGAAAGTGTTAGTAATGACAGAGATGTACATGTTGCCTTCCTGAACAAAAAGGAAACATGAATAGGCACGGGATATTTACTTGGGTGCTCTGTTTTGTATTAAATGGGAGATTGTTTTTGGCTTTTATGTGTATAAAATAACTGAAAAATTTTGAACGAGAAGCTTGTGGGACAAAAATGTCTGAGTAAATATAAAATGTAGGCTTTCCTTAGCAAACACTGTGAAGCCCAATTTATTTTATTTTTTTTAATTACTACCTTTGCTGTGATTTGCAGGGATTGTCTTCAGACTTTTCTGAGTTGAGGAATTGTGTTAGTAGCAAAAAGCTGCTGCAATTCAGTAGAAAATGCTATGGCTTGCTGGAATGACATTGTACTCTTGTCTTGGTCTATAATCTCAGGGTCTGCTCTCAGACATGTTAGCATCATCTTTAGAAATATTTCATATTTAATTTTAATTGATGCATTTGATTTTTAACATGCTTAACTCTTAAATGCTTTTTTGATAAATTATGCATTTTAGTAGCGTCAATACCATGTTCTCTCTATTGGGCTTTGAGGTTGAGTGTTAGCAGAAATGAGTCTGTTGGGTTGCCTGTGTCTCCTAATACAGTAGATGTAAAGGTGCAACTTCTGCTGGAATCTAGTTTATGTTGTAGGCAACTCTTTTTCAAAGAGCAGGATTGTGTCTTTCCATTGAGGTGTCTTGGTCATGAGATCACTCTTCCGAACTGCAGGGCATTGCTATGAAGTAAAAATGAATAATACTCTGCCCACTTTCAGTAATATGTGGGAAAGGAGGTTATCTCATAATCTGGTACACCAGTTTGAGTCATACCTCATTGTTAACTTCATTTTATTGCTATTTTAATCTCGTCTCTTCAGTAGGTAGACAGGTTGTGCACCAGGCTTATCCTTACCGAAGCTGTTAAGAACTCTGCTAAGGCAAATAAGGGTAATGGAAAACCACTGAATAAGCCTATTGCAGTGTGTTGGTTTTTTGAGGGTTTTGTTTGCCTAGGGAAACAGCCAAAAAAAAAAAAAAAATTTACTACATAAAATGGTACTTGGAACTGTAGGTCAGTGTTTGTATCAAGTTTGGAAGACTGACATTAGTTATTTGCTAACTTAATTAGTGGCAGTGTTCTGTTTTAAAGAATCTGTTGTATAAGATTTGCTTGCCAGGGCATTTGCATGCGATCACTGTTTAGCAATGACATCTGGCAATTTTATGTGTGTACTTTGTCCAGCAAAATATTCCAAAGTTGACTGACTGTGTGCCCCCAATAGGAGGATAATATGGGACAGTCACCTAACACTGCATCTCCACCTGATGCTCCTGTTTGTATGTAACCAGTTTGATAAACTTATCACCTGTTTCAGAGACATGGAAGTCTGAAGTGAGACCTCCCCAAAAAGTCCCATTGCTTCCAGCTGCCTAAACAGGAAGACAGATTCCTTTAGGTAAGGTTATTCAGCTGCTGAGATAGATAGCTGTCCTACCTGGTAAAGGGTTAGGAAGGTCAAGGTGCTGGAGCTGTATTTCTTGGGGACAAAAGATTTGTGAGCTGAAGACCTCATTATATAAACTATTTCATCATATAAATGCAATATAAATGATTCTAAGAAATGGATTAAGAAAACACCACCACTACCAAGAAAAATTTAACTAGGTGGTACCTGTGATGATTCCAGTTCATCTTTGATTACTGCATAGTTTTTAGTTTGTTCTTATGATCTAAAGCAGGAGAGTCAAACACTTCTGCATGGGGAAAGCAGGGAAAAATAAACTCGAAAAAAGAGATGGTGGTGTGTCTAACTGGGGGGGGGGGGGGGGGGCGGAAAAACCAACCAAAACCAAAAACACATCCCTATGCTAATATTGTTCTGCAGATTTCACAACAGAGATTTAGTATATGGCTTTACACACTTCGGTAACTGATGGCCAACCCTGGCTGTACTTGTTAAACTGGTGGCAGTTGTACTTCTTTCCCACAGTTAAAACAGAGTTTCAGCTCTGTGGAAGAACCACCTCAAAAAGTGAACTTTTAAAGCAAAGTGAGTTTGGCATTTGCAGTAAGTGTTTAACAGTGCAAAAATCCTCCAGCACTTGGATTTTATTTAAGCAGTTAAAACCATCCTTACCCATTTCTGAGGAAGACTGAAATAATTTATTTTTCAAACAAAACAAAAGTTCAGTAAAGCAGATGTTACTATTTATCTTTACTGTTTAACATTGTAAATTATACTAGGAATGTTGTGTGCTGCCACTTAAACTAAATCATTTGTTTATTTTGAGCATTATTCCCAGGCAAGGAGAAACTTCAACTTCTGTACCTTAAATATTCTTTGAAACTTAATCGGGTTGAAATTCCTAATGAGTCCTAGTTTTGTCTTCCCCTGAGAACTGCATTCTTTGTACACAGAAATATTCAGACTGCCAGTTGTCTTTTCCTGCAGTTTTCTTATAAATCTTTCTAATCTTGTAGCCAGGAAAGCTGGAGTTTTATTCACTTTATCATTTGCTGACTGCCTTTTTAATAAGGCGAACTCCACTTTCAGAGGTCAGTCAAAGTACCAAAAATGTTTAATTTTATGCTTTGTACAAAGAAGGGAAGTGATTGAACCAGAATGGAATGTCAAAAGGAGTCCGGATGCAATGGAAAAAAAGCATTGCCACCACTGGTTCTTCTGAAGTAGATAGTTAATGCATATAGCTGTTCGTGTGATTACAGAGTCTTGCCAGTAAGATCATTGTGTCTGAATGTTTTTATTCCAGAAGAATGTAGCTGAAAATAAGCCAGATGATTTATTTGCTCCAAGGCACGATGGCTTTGTACATTATCTGTGTATTTTATGAATTATTCCTAAAATGGAATACAAGTTGAATTTTTTTTTAATAAATCAAAGTCAAAGATACATTTTTGACCACTTTGTGTGACAAACTCCCTAAAAGAAACAACACACTTTGAATAGCTTTTAAATACTTTCTACAGTAATTTGGAAAATACTTGCTTCTCTGCTGCCTTCCAGTTATGCTTTCTTGTAAGCTTTCCTCTGCTTAGGGGAGTGCGGCCCTGAAGGTAGATGGAGCACTCCTGTTTCTGCTGCTTCGCTCCCCAGGTTGTCCTTCTGGATGGTTGCAGTCCTGTCTGTCCTTCCACACGTGGAGGCTGCGCCTAAATACTCAGTTTGTGTGACCTGTTTTGTTTTGCTTACAGTAACTGAGGCCTATGTCTGCCTTCGGTCATAATTCTCGTTAGCATTGGCATGAGAGAGGGAGATAAATGGGGGATGGAAACGTGCAGGGGACAGAGGTCCAGGATGCGGAGCCCAGCTCTGGCTGACAGAGGTGGGCACACCTTCCCCAGCAGGATGCTGGCGCAGCCCTCAGCCCGGCGAGTACGGGGAGGGACTGGCAGCCCTTCGCTTCTCTGCCTTTCCTCGGGCTTTCCGAGTGAGTATTACGTGACCCATTTTTGTGAAATATTCGGAAGAAAAGATTTGTGCCAGCGTTAGCAGTTCCTGTCAGACAATGCAAGTGACAGGGCTGCAAATTTGTGCATGCATTCTGCAGTCACTGTTATATTCAGAAAATGGCACTGTGTTGCCACTGTATTATGTGGCAAAATGTTTATCATGCTTATTACTGGTTATTTTCCTGCTTGGAAGATAAACTGGTGGATTAAACTTTTCTGATTTTTATGATAATGTTTTTAAATTATTCTTTTTTTGTTTGTTTGTTTTGGGTTTTTAGCATAAATTCAGCTAGGTCCATGTGCAAATGGGTTTTGCTGTTGACTTGGTCCTTGTGGTAATATGCTATTTCTGTTTTTGTATTGTTTCATGTGCTTCATATTGCCAAGTAACTTAACAAGCTTTTCATTCTTCAAATAACCATGACTTGAATGCAGAAGTAAAAATGACATGATCTCCCTTAATTCATAGAAATCAATGCTCTCTCACTGTTTACTTTAAGTAAATGGTTAAATATCATGTGTTACTTATGATCTGAAGTGTTATTTTAATAAAAAAAGATCTGAGGTTAACTTAGCTCCTTACCCCAAACATTGAACAAAAAGGAAGAAGGAAGCTTCTGTGAAATATTCTGTTTGCTTGAAACTAGTTTGTTTCTTCTCCCGCAGGTACTTGGGCGATGTTTCTTGACGGTGATGCAGGTCCACTTTCAGTTCCTGTCACAAGCTTTGCAGAAGGTCCAGCCAGTGGCACACTCTTGCTTTGCTGAAGCTGTAGCTCAGGAGAGAAAAAATGTTAGTGGGGCTGGAGCCTCAAATTTAAGCCCCACGAATGAGCTAGAAGATGCAATAAGATCATGGAGAGGAGCAGCAGAGGTATGGAGATCTTGCTGTAGTGGCATTATATTTAGTGAAATGACAGTTATAGTTAGTGAAACCTAAATTCAGGCTGGATGCCCTGATAAAAGAAGAAAAGCTCTGGTTTTAAAGACATACTACGTTTGAAGGGGAGAGCATGGTGCAGTTAGAGATGCTAAAACTTGTTTTACCTATATATGGTGATTATACTGTCTTTGTCCTGTGTAAAGTTTTCTTTGTGATATGATTGTACATAAGGAGTGCACAAACAGTGGAAACAGCTTTTTGTTATTAGTAGTGAATTACCAATGTTCAAATGTGGTTTGGCAGAGGAAATAAAAAAAAAAACAACCCAACATACAAGTCAGCAAAACCAGCAAAATCTTGATGAAGAATAATGTAGATAATGTCTATTTCTCTTAAATGTTGAGCATGAATTCTATTTTATACTTAAAAATCTTTACGGTAACTTCTAAAACTTTTGTCTTCATGCTGTTAAGCTTGACGTTGCTTGATCCATCAATTGTTGGAATGCTGATTGTATTACTTAAATGTACTGCGCTCTGGACTTGTATTTTCACAAACACTTGCCATCTGTGGAATCCTTACTTTTCCTGCTGTAAAAAGTAATTTACAGAGAAAAATGGTTTTATGACCTTTTCTGCTTTCCTTTGCACTATTGAAGTCTGCAGACTGATATCAAAATGGATTCAGACACTGAGTGCATGGTTTCCTTAAATTCAAGTAACTTGGAGCATGTGCTTTTGAAGTCTAATTTGGCAGCCCACACAGTCATGTTAATCATCTTGACTGGAAATCTTGTTAAGGTTTCCATTTATCAACTAACATCTGCAAGGTATATGAAAGCAAACAAGTTTCCTTTAAAACTATGAATGCAGAGAAATTATTTGTAATTTTTACTGCAGCATAAATTTATTTCGCTGGATAAAATAGGGATTTGGGAGTGTTCTAGGTATATTACAGATAATTGTAACAGGTCTAATCCTGCTATATCTTTACTCTTTTGCATAAAAATAGTTAATTGTTTAATATACTTAATTCCTTAAAACTATGTTACAATTTCTAGAAATGCCCTGTAATTGCTATCAAGCTTGTTTAAAATGTGGTTAAAATTAAACTTCTGTTTGCAGAATGTGGGACCCTAACTTTCTTTTTTACCACATTAACAGTCCACTCTGGCTATTTCTGTTAATAAAACCTGTATTTCAAAATAGAATTTAGTACAGGTATTACACTAATCAAATCCTTTATTAACATGGAGAGGAGAAGAGAAAAAGACAGATTGCCCCTTGTTCCAGAATAACAATAGAAGAAACTTCTCAATTTTTATGATTGACTACAATAATTAATCTGAAATACTTGCGTGGGGTTTTAGGATAGTATAAGAAAAATCTGTGCTCTGTAAATAAATAAAATCTCTCTCTTGTATATTAGCCTATCTACAACTATAAGTCATTTTGATAGAAGGGAGATTTGAAATACTGAAATTTTTCCAAATTTTTGCTTTCTGGAGTGGAAGGCAATCCATTATTTCCATATAAAATCAGCCTCTTTGGCAGGAGAATACACTACTGTTTCAGAATAAAGTTTACAATGATACTTTTTCAGTAGCTCCAAACTATTTTTGCTTTTTAAGATCTTTCACTTGGAAAATGCTGTAATCTTGTACATGTTGATGAGGTGAGCGATGTGTCTGCCCATTGCCTTGTAGTACCAAAAATCCCCAGTTCCTTTAGAGCAAGACTCCTTCCTAGACTGAAAAATAAGCTGTATCTGAGCCCTTAAATGCAGTTGACAGTACGTTCCTATTTGTTTTACCCTGCTCAGTAGTGTAATATTTTACAGTTAAAACTAGATATTTGGCTTTTCCTATTTCTTATTTTTCAAAATCATATTACATAAAGCTATTCTCTTGCTGTGTGAAGTTGGTCTTGTGTGGCTCTTCTCAAATTGCACCACAGTAATTACCCTTAATTTTGTAAAACATATCTTCTGTACACAGGAGTGATTGTACACATGATCAAATGTATCCTCTGTTTCTGTGGCAAGTAATACCCTTTATGTTGAAGTTCTAAGTCCCTCCTCTGGTAACCACAGTCATCATGTGGCCTGTGTAACCGGATCCTTAGTCCTGAGAGGGAGCTGAAATAGTAACAGCAAACAATGTTGAATTAAGTTGCTAGCCAACTCCTATATGCTGTACAAATTACGTGAGATTTGTACTTTCAAAGTAGCAGTGGAGGTTTAATAAGTTATAATAAATAATCTCCTTCAGATCTGTTCCACCAGGTGCTGCTTCTCATCTCCTTTATAATGTTTTAAACTCTGTGGGGTTTTTTTGCTCTTTTTTAAGATTTAATTAAGCTTGACCTGATTTAATGTTGAACCTCTTTACCCTGGATTTTTATTTTACATTACAGGCCACATCTCGACTGCGAGAAAGAGGCTGTGATGGATGTTTAGCAGGAATTGAAGTTCAGCAACTTTTCTGCTCACAGAGTGTGGCAATCCCTGAACATCAGCTCAAAGAGCTAAACATGAAAATTGACAGTGCTTTGCAGGTGAGGTTTTAAAGTCTGCTGCTTTCATGCTTACTTGCTACATACTTACTGCATGCTTACTTGCTGATACGCCCATTCTATCTCAACTTTTTGTTTAATGTCAGGCTTACAAACTGGCTTTGGAGAGCTTAGGCCATTGTGAATATGCAATGAAGGCTGGCTTCCACTTGAACCCAAAAGCTATTGAAGCAAGTCTTCAGGTAGGATCTGCTAAACCTGCTGTCTCTTTCATCCCTCCGCACCTTGATAATAACTATTTAAAAAAAAAAAATTGGACTCATATTAGGATTTTTTAGGATTTTTTTAATGTCTTCATTTCTTCTAATTGATCTGTTCTTTTATATTTCAGGGCTGTTGCAGTGAAGCTGAAGCCCAGCAAACAGGAAGGAGACAGACTCCACCTCAGCCAATTCAGTGTGAACTGCCCACCGTACCTGTTCAGATAGGATCGCATTTTCTGAAAGGAATATCCTTTAATGAGTCTGCAGCAGAAAACCTGAAGCTGAAAACGGTAATAACCCTGAATCTAACCACAGGAGCGAAGAGGGGGGGATGTGAGAAGAGTAGAACTCCTTAAAATTCAGAGAATAACTGCAGCAGATGTTCGGTGCCAAACTTTTATTTAAAAGTGCGTATTTTTAGCCTGACTTCCTGTGGAAACAAGATGTTGATAACAACATTGTAGGTCCACGCCTGCTTCTGATCACATTTTAACCACCTGGGTAAATTTAGTCCAGTCTGAGAGAGGCATAGAAATGTAGGGGGTAATGAAGCTTCTGTGAACTTTTTGAAAATAGGTGGGTTAGGTATCAAGAAGTGCAGAGGAAAGTGAGCCCTTACAGATGCCCCAACCAGGTGATGCACTTCAGAGCTTTTATCATCTTAGGTGCCAAAATAAGTCTGGCCCAGCCTAGTGCTAAGGGAGGTACTTGAAAAAGTACTCTGTAACAAAGCTCCTTTTAATGTCTTCTTACAGATTTCCATAAATTTAAAAAAAAAAAAATTGTGGAGAAGTTAATTGTGTTTTCAGTATGAAGGAATGGAAAAGTTGTCCATTCAGAAATAATTTGGGCGATTTTAATCAGCGTTTTCACTTTTTTTTTTAAGATAAGCCCAGTTCCTTCATCCTGAAAGAGTTGAAACAATCCACAGTTCAAAATGCTGCTTTTCTGTTGTCTTTGCAGTGCTTTTTGTAGTTTTGAGTAAACTGTTTTGCAAGAATATAAGCAAAATACTGTTTGATTTTGGAGGAGTATTGTGTTCCAAATAGCAGAGATGGTCTTCCATATTTCTGTTCTGCAGTTGAGCTCTTCTAGTAATACAAGACTGTTCAGAGGTAACAGACATTATAGTTGTTTGAAAAATGTGTAGAACAATGATAAATACATATGGAGGTATTGGTGTGAACATTTCTGAATCATGTGTTTAGTATGACAAAGTTTTTATGACTGTGTTTTTTTCAGCACACAATGCTGCAGTTGATTAAGGAAGCTGGATGCCATAATGGACTTACACCACGGGATGACTCTCCTGTTACTGAAGTACTAAATCAGGTTTGCCCTTCCACTTGGCGAGGAGCCTGCAAAACTGCTGTACAATTGTTATTTGGCCAAGCTGGACTGGTACGTGACTATGAATAGGTTTAGCAAAAAAAGGGCTCTTTAAAGATCCTGAAGAGAAAGTAGATATTTTAAAGAGTTTGGAAATTAATTTCCAGTGTCTGTCTTTGTGTTTCTCCATTTTTAATGCTGAAGCTAACTTGATTTATGAGCAAAATTTATCCTCGTAGAATGCAAGTTCATAGATGGTATCTGTAGTTGATAGGAACAGGAGAATGTACTGTGTACTTCATAGTCTCCATTATTAGAGGGACCACAAGAAATGAAACTTCTAATTCATAGTGAAGTAGAATGATTTTCAAATCTGTAGATGACCATGTTAAAAAGAAAGACCCCTTCCCTCCCTTCTCTCAGATTAGCTTTAAAATCTGCCATTTTTTAATTTCCTCTCTGCTTTCAATGGAAGCTGGGTTTCCTGTCCAACATAAACCAGGAAGTCCTCTGCACCAAGTAATGCTACCTGACATCTCCAACAGAGGACAGAGCGATTAAATACATTGCTGTAGACGTATGCATTCTTTAGAAACCAACCCCATGGATTTTACAGTATCTAAACAGTTGCTAAAAATAGATGCTTGGAATATACTCTGATAAGACAATGCATTTGTGCTCCCATAACTGATTACTGTAATATCTTCATTTAATGAAGTGTTCATTCATGACACATAAGTTTTTTTGGACTGCTGTGAGTTTTCATTTGACTGGACAAATAAAATGAGGGCAAGAACGCAATAGGATAGGAAAGAAATGCAAGCATAAAGGTACATGTTACCCTATTATAGTTTCTGTCAAGGTTTCTTTGAATCACCTTTACCTACAAGAGGCTAAATGCTTCTTGTTGATTCAGCATTAGGACTTTGTAACTAAGTGTAATTCCTGATGAAAGGATCCATATTGCTACATACTTTGTAAATACCGCATTTTTCAAACACCTGATTTAAGTGACTTCCTCCTTCTGTCCTAGTTCATTAAACCATATGTTTTTTGGTACCATTAATAGAATCTTTGGGTTGAAAGGGACCTTTAAAGGTAATTTAGTCCAACCCCCTTGCAGTGAGCAGGGAGATGATCAGCTAGAGCAGGTTTCTCAGAGCCCCATCCAACTTGACCTGGGATGTTTCCAGGGGTGGGGCATCTACCACCTCTCTGGGCAACCTGGGCCAGCGTTTCACTACTCATTGGGAAAAATTTCTTCTTATATGTAGTCTAAATATGCCCTCTTTTAGTTTAAAACCATTACCCCTTGTCCTATTGCTACAGGCCCTGCTAAAAAGTCTGTCCCCCTCTTTTTTACAAGCTCCCTTTAAGTACTGGAAGGCTGCAGTAAGGTCTCCCCAGAGCCTTTTGCAGGCTGAACAAACCCAACTCTCAGCCTTGTGCTCGTGGGAGACGTGTTCCATCCCTCTGATCATTTGGTGAATGGTGATCATAATGGTGAATGAAAAATTGTAAATAATAAATTCGTAAGATATTTTTTCTGTAGTAGGTTCAAATCATACCGGAATTCAAGTGACTTTTCACGTAAAGAAGGCCTACAATGAAAGGAACAGATCATCAGTATCATAACAGCAGTGCACCTGCTGTGAGTCCTTACCTAAGTGTGATACAGGGATTTAAGGGTAGGAGATGGTATTGCATTAACCACTTTGTGTATGGAAGTTTTACAGGGAGGCATAAGAAAGCAGGGGGAGAAAGCAAATGTGGAATAGTAGGATTGATCAAATTTCTACTTAGGTGTTTTCAAGGAAAATATGTATTAAATATTAATAAATACAAAAAAAACTAGAAAAAAGGATATGGTTAAGTGGGATGTGTTCAAGGTAGGATGTTGGGAGTCAGCAGCAAGGTATGGGAAATGAGGCCAAGAAAGAAACCATTTCTCAGCGCTATGGGAGTGTGCTGTAACTCAGGAGGAGTTCTTGGCTCCCGAGTGTCTAGATGAGGAATGCCTTGGAGGACGCTGTACCTCCCACAGTTTCCTTTCCGTGGGGTCTCAGTGCTGTGCACACCGAAGTTCTACCCTGATGAGATTTGGGGAGTGGCCCGAGGCACATTTGGACTCAGGAGTCTGGAAGTCTCCTGGTGTCCCCCAGTCTAGACAAAACTAGTTAGACCTGCTGGTAATTAAAGCAATGATATTCTTCACGTTTATGATAACATTTGGAGAGTTGTCAACATAAAACTTACTTATACATTCTCCCAAATAACAGTGCTGATACAAGGAATATTCTTTGTGTTGAATCATGAATGTGTCCGAAGATTTTTGCATGAACCTCAGGTTCTAAAAGTAGCAGGTTTCTATCTTCAAAGACACACTAATGAGCTCTACACATGACAAAATACTTGCGGGCCTTCTCTCCGTCGTTCGTTCTCACTTTGATTTGTTACAATTTGGAAGGGTGTGAGGGTTGAGGTTTTTCCTTCATAAAGTATATGCCATCATTTTTTTACAAGATTCAATTATGTTTGTATGTAGCCTTATGCAATGACAAGAAATTGTAGTTTGCTTCTTTTAAAGCATTCTTTGGGTGGAGATGAGAGAGGAAACACCTGTAAAACAAGAACAATAGATGTCTGATGCACAGGAAGCTATCCTCTAAGCACCCACCAGGCGGGGAGGGAGAATGTGTTTATTTTAAGTTTATTTTGTGTAGAACTTGGATAAATGAATCATAGGACAATATTACGTAGTCTTTGGTTTACTGCTTTTAGAAACTAACCTGTCTGCATTAGTTCAGAATTGTGTGTAAATTTGTCATTTAAATGCCAAATTTACAAAAGAACATTCCTTAACAGTCTCGGTATCTTTAGCCTGTCTTGCTATGTGCCTTTTAAGAAGAAACTCATTAGGAGTGGAAAGCACAATGAGATGTGACTAAGTTTGCTTGGTTATTTCAGGCTTCAGCTTTTAAACATAAGAAGTAATTTTAAAATGTGCAGTTTTTCAGTTTCTACTTTAGCATATATATTAAGAAATTTATTTTCAGATTTGGGCAGCTGAAGAAATCTCCATGTTTGAATAAAAGTGTATTAAAATAGTTGAATTCAGAGGATGAGTGGAAATAAAACTTTGAATTGGCCTCATGCAAATTCATGAAGAGAAGGTTTAACTGCATCTTTAGCCATCCTTTTTTGTGCTGCTAGATCTTTCTATAGCAAAAAACAACATGCATTGCAGAAGCAGTAAATCTTCTAGTAATGTTTAAATCCCAGATGTTGTAACTCTGACCGAATGTTGGGAAAGGTAAAGCTCTTTTTTTTTAAAGGGGAAAAAAAGGAAGATACTGGGGGGAGGAGGGAGTCAGACACTGCCAACAAAGCCCAGACCGTGAGCACTACCTGCACCACGACCAGAAGCTGATCTAGGTCTGCACAAATCAGTATTTTAGTTCTGACTTATAGGTGTGAGGTGCAGACAGCGTTTTTCTTGGGAGTTGAGAAAAATCATTCTGAAGTTCATCTCTCCTTATCCCAGTTATAATTGCAATATAGCCGAATTGCAGATTACCAAATTACATAAAATTAAAATGGTATAAATACAAGGAAAAAAGTAATGGAGTTGCCCAGTTATTAAATGAGAGGTATTTTCATGAGTGGATAATAGCATGGTGCTTTGTCACTGTGCTTAGACATGTTTTACAAGTTTGAATAAACTCGGGCAAATGTTTAGAGGCAACTGGAGGAAAGCGAAGGCCTTATACTCAAGTTATCTACGAGGTGAGAACTAACTGTGCTCAAGTGTCATTGGATGGTTTTGTTAAAGAGAGAGAGAGGAGACTCGCGACATTATTCGAATTTCACATTTCTTCATAACCAGTAGTAGACAACCAGTTAGTAGTAGAACCAGTGTAGGATGATTGCAAAAAAGCCACTAATATCCCTTGAGGCTTATTTATACCGGAGGACTTTTGCCATTTCAAGGATAAATGGTACAGCTAATCTGCTAGTCACTGAAGCAAGAACTGCTGACTGCTGCCAAAAAAGCTGCTGGTTCAGCATGACCAAAATAGGAAATTATGGAAATGATCAAGAAGGCCAACCCATGCAGACTGGACAACAACAGAAAGCATGAACCAAATATGGAACTTGCTGTCACTGGTATTAAAATTTAAGTGAAGCTGAAGTGAATCCATTCCTTCTCAATTCCATAAAAAGAAAGGTTCATGACAGAAGGTTAATTTTCAAGACTTTCATCTTCCATATATCTCCATGATGTCTTACAGAAGGCTCAGAATTCAACAAATTGAACAGTCACTTTTCTTCTCCTTATATAATAGGGAATTAATAATAGTAGTTTCACTAGGTAGAATAGAGAAATGTTGGTGTGGAATTTTATAACCTTAAAAGGATGGGGGGGTGTTAAGAATTGTGAGGTATGTGAAGAGTTTCAAACTAAATACTACTTGTCTATATCATACTGTGCACTGCAGTTAAATTATTAAAAATGTTTTGACAAACAAGTGTTTGGGAGCTGTTAAAGTAGTAATAGTGCCAAACCTTTCAAATGTAAGGGCTGTTACATGAAGCCATTGGTAACTACCAGCTGTTAGGTAAAGCAGTTGGTAACTATGTAGTGATGTGTAACTACACTACATAATTGAGCAGAATTAAGTCCTTGAAATACAGGTTACTGTATCAAACTAATCATTTTACAGTCCTTTATTTAGATATTAAAATAGAAGTAATCTTACAATGATTTTGTGAGTTGATTTGGTTTTATCCGGTTATTTTTTGCACCTGTAGCATGGTAAGGAGGTGAGACTAATGCATCTTAACTACAAAGGTGATAAAATAACTAGAATTAATTCTTAACATTTCCCTTTATTTTAATTTTATTTGCTAGGTGGTTGTGGACACAGCACAGATTGAAAACAAAGAAGCCTATGCTCCTCAGATAAGTTTAGAAGGATCCAGGATTGTGGTGCAAGTTCCATCAACTTGGTAAATAAAAATACTGTATTGCAGATAATACTAATAGCTATGACTGAAATACATAGGGAAAACATTACACTACAAATGGAAGAGAGAATACTATATGATTATGGCATATCTTTAAGTTCCTTTATCAGGAACTGTTTGAATGCCACTGTTCCTGACAGACTGACAGTTGTACTTCAGCTGTCTTTGTACTAGCACTGCCTCTGTTGGAGGCAGTAGGAGAGAGGCAGTGCTGGGGCACTGAAACGTACTTTTAAAGATAAAGCAAAAGCTTGATGAAGAAAGACGGTTTTAAAAAAAAAAAAAAAAAAATAAAAAAAATCCAATAGTATTCCTGTTATGCCCCTCCCCGGGGCTGGTCCTCCCAGCTGTTCCCTCAGGAAGGCCAGGAACTAGATGAGATGAACAGAAGAGCTGCAGCTCACTCTTCCCTGAGCTGTTCTTTAAGCGCTGTTGTGAACTGCAGAACTCTGTGGACAGAGACACGCAATTCCTACCAGTTTAGTTGACTGTCTAGGAAAGAATAGTAGGATTAATCTGTGGTTTTGGTGAGGATTTCTTCCCTTGTGGAACAATGATTTGGAATTCAAACACTTCCTTTCTCTCTTACTTTAGAGTACTCAGCGTTATGAATTTCAGTACAACACAGTTCATTCATCTGAATCTTTAATGAGATAGTCAGCCTGTTACTAATGGTACCAATGGTATGTCCAGAAGTACACGTCAACTGGTAGTACCCAAATACATCTTTAAGTCCTCTACAGAATGTGAACTGGCACTTCTCTTTCTGTAAATTGCTCTATTATGAAAGAACTAAAATAATGCAGAGCGCTTTAGAGCCAGGCTTTGTGTGCTCTGGAAGAGCTCCGCCTGCTGACACACAGTGAGAGTGCCTCTTTACTGGTTCCCTGGAGCGGCTCATTAAGTACTTGACAAATGTGCTAATATCTAGATTTAAGTTACTCTGATTTCAGCTCAAATTCAGTCCTAATTCTGTGCCACTAATGAGGAAAATTCACTAACCCTGCATCTGCACAGCACAGTAAAATCTTCCCCAGACTGCTGGATAGGCTGAATCATTTTTCCACTTGGAATCTGTCCGGCTGGGGGTTCCTAGTGTTGGACTCGAGAGTGCACCCATGCACTAGCGTTTTGTGTCAGGTTTGTTCACTGCTCTTGTCATTTTCCAGAAATTGGCTTTGTGTATTAGTTTCTTCTTACCTCTGTGCTTGAATTACGCCTGCTTAGCTACACAGCTAATAATTAATCATGATTTAAAAATAAATGCTGTAACTCTTAATTTTTCAGTTAGATTAGTTGTATATTCAACAGTAGGGAAAAAAAATGGGGCTGCAGGCGTAGTATTTAGGAACCCTCAGGCCTTCATACATTATGCTGCCTTTATTAGTTGCACCTCCGTAGGAGCAGTAGTAGTACATCAATGGGCCTTTTATTATCTGACTAGTATGGTAAAATTGTTTATTGTAAGAAATAAAAATTTTGATTAAGTTGAACTTGATGATTACAGGTGTCTGAAAGAAGATCCAGCAACAATGTCTTTGCTACAGAGAAGTCTGGATCCAGAGAAGACTCTGGGACTGGTAGATGTGCTCTACACTGCTGTGTTTGACATACACAGGTGGAAGGAAGGAAGGTACATCTCCTCCTGAGCCTTGTGCTCTACTTTCCTAGTTTAAACAAAGCCATCGTTGTTGTAGGTCTGTATGGAGGAATTTGATAGCACCAGTTCCTCAGAAGGCGAAAACAGTAGTCAAACTGAGAGCAAAACATTGGTAATCTACATAGGTACCTTGTGGGTACCTACAGAGATACAGCAGTCTTTTTAACAGCAAACCAGCAGCTTATCTAAGTGTGCAAAAGTATGTGTTTGTTTCTTACAAAAATACTTTATATTAAATTGGTCTCCATTTAGGTCTTGAAGCACAATTAAAATGTTTTAAGGAATGGAAAGCAGTTAACACTATTGCAAAATACAAGTAATGATTTGCATTGTTACCATAGGAAGTAGCTGATAAACTTGGCAATCTGGTTTTGTTTCTTCCAGTAGCTATTACCCAAATACACATTTTCCTGCAAAGTGCAAACTCAGTTATGTCTTAGGTGGTTTGATATACGTGTTTTTGTTGATGCAGGGAGCAAGCCTTGCCTTGTATTCAGATCCAGTTACAGCGTGAAATCTCAGACTTTGGGAATCAAGCTGACATGCCATCCGGAAATGGAAGCAAATCTTCAGGTGGCCTACAAAAGACGTTCTCAAAACTGACTTCACGGTTTACAAAAAAAACTTCCTGCACTAGTACAAGTAATACTGGAAGTTATTCAATCCCCAATACACCTTCCAAAAATGTCTTCATAAGTTCCAACTCAGAGGAAAAAGCTAAAATGCCCACTAACATAGACGCACGGTTACAAAGCATTTTGAACATCGGTAATTTTCCTAGGACCACAGATCCACTGCAGTCAATTCAGAGCACAAATAATCAGCTAGTGAATGGATTTCTAGTCGAAAGACGGGACAACTTCTTCAAACCTGATGATGGCAAGGATGACAAAGGTATGAATTTACCAACTGACCAAGAAATGCAGGATGTTATAGATTTCTTGTCTGGTTTTAACATGGGCAAATCCCAGCAAACTTCTCCGATGGTGAAAAGAAGGAACTCTGCTGCATCCTCTACAGCAACAGAACAAAAATCAGGAACAGTACAACAGCAACCACAATCTGTCTCTCACACACCACTGCATCCTTCTCAGCAAGGCTTGTCACAGCAGCAGCAGCAGTCACAAAAGCAGCAGCAGCAGCAAATGCAGTATTACCAACACTTGCTTCAACCTATTGGACCACAGCAACGTGTACCTGCCAAATGGCTGACTAATTCTTCACAGCAGCCAGCCCAAGCTGTTGGAGCTGGACTGTCTCATATAAACCAGTGGAACAATCCTGGTTTTTCAGATTTAAGCTCTGATTTGTACAGCTTGGGTCTTGTGAGCAGCTATATGGACAATATGATGTCAGAGATGTTAGGACAGAAACCACAAGGACCTAGAAACAACACATGGCCAAATCGTGACCAAACTGATGGAGTGTTTGGGATGTTGGGAGAAATCCTGCCTTTTGACCCTGCAGGTGTGTGTCTTTTCCTTTATTATGTTTTTTATAAGGGTCCTTTTACAAAGAATACTGTTAAATATTGTTAGCAATAACTGTCACTTCCTTGTGCTCTCCACCAGATGCTACAGTTCTTACAAAGGCAGGCAGGCATTTCTATGTATGCCTTTTTTCTCTTTTAACAGAAGGTAAACTAACATACAAGCACTTTTCATTAATAAATAGAATGCAGCCAAATTCCTTGCTTCTTGTCCCAGTTGCAGTAGTTCTGACCTTTCCTGTATGGACCACATCAAAGTACTGAAACAGATACTTACAGATGGTATTTCTCTGAGCAATTTGTAAAATGGTTTAAAACCATTGTTAACTCTTGAACTTAGTATTTTACCTCTCCCCAAAATGATCCTTCGGGCTCTTTACCAGTCTTGTGGTCTGGAGATAGAGCCGGATTTAGTCTTTCCCATATCCCTGCATTTCCCCTCCATTATGGTGCTATTCCATGGGAGTCGTACTGGTCCCGCAGTGAAAAGCTTGGATGCCAAAGGATTAGAGACTGAAGAGCAAGTTCCATATGGTCTGCCAGATGTGTTTGAACCACCAATAAATTGCAAATGTAGAGGGATTATTGTCAAAGATGAAGTGAGATAAAATTTTATAGCCATAAACAAATAGCTAAAGACTATGAAATTGACTGTAGAGTCTAAGAGGAGACTAATGAATTCTTCTGATAGTAGTACTAAGAACAACTTACAAATCTATTATCTCGTAAATATAATTTCTGTTGGCCTGGAACATAGCTACAGGAACTTTGTAGTATACATTTTTGAAAACTGCCTGGAGGGAGGCAGCACTGGAACTAAGAAGAAAACCTTTTATCAAACCATGAATCTGTTTCCCATGTACATTTACACGTGTGTGTGTGTTAAGACTGTGTAGGCATCTCAGAAAGCAGCTTATTTGACTCACAATTTTGATAGTTATTTTGTAGCTTAGTTGAATAAATTAGTGGAGTTTGTAAGGCAAAAATAGGCATCATAGGTTATCAAAAGCTTCTTAACAATTGTAAGTCTGGATTAGCATCACCTTATTTAAACATATTTATGGTATATACTTAAGGTTTATCACAACCTTTAAGAAAGGAAAAAATTACTTTCGCCAAGCATCAAATACATGTACACGTAGGGGAAAAAAAATGCATGTATATAAAGGACTGGCATTTTCAGTATTTTGAATTCATTATATTTCTGTAGTATTTTCCTTTTAATCTACGTAAAGCTACTTGTTCCATTTGATATGATGAATATCAAGGACTTTGAAAGTGATACTCTGAAAAGGCGACATTCAAGTTGACAAATGGTGCTCTGTGGATTAAGATACATGTTTCTACAGTTGAAGTGACAAGTAAACAGCATTTCCACAGATCTGGTGTTTAAAAAAACCCAAAAAACTCCATCCAATCAAATAGATATTTTTTTTTCCATTGGAAAGATAACTTTTCTTCATTTAACTTTTCTCCATAAAACTTGCTAGGTTGAGCTGTGATGTAGGAATTTTCAATTTAAGCTCTAGTGCAGTACAGAAAGCTTTAAAACACAGAACACTTTTTCATTTCCAGGCTTTCTGAGGACTCTTGTACATTTGTCATTTGAAACAAATGGCATTACTTTGATACATATTTTTAGAGCCTGAAAATGATGTGTCTCTTCTGATGCAAATCTGCTAATTAAGAATTTATAAAATTGATGGCTTTTCATGTCACAGGCTTAACTAGCTACCAAAAATGTATTTTGCAGTACTTTTATCATCTGTAAGAACTTGATGAAGGAATGTTGATACCTCCAGGTCTTTTGAATTACTTTCACAGATGTGAAAGAATGAAATGAAAAACAGATCTGATAAAAAGCTGCTTACCTGGTATGTTTTTGAGGTAAAAATTAACACAGGTTGCTGTTTTGAATATAACAGTATTTCAATACTTAATGCTATCCACAGGGGGGAAAAACTGAATGTCCTTCAGAATCTACCTAGAATCTGTCCTTAGAGTTGAGGATCTGTCTAGCTTCCAGCCTCATCTTAAATGGACAAAAAGATATTTCTCAGAGAACAGTATTAGTGGCAATATTTTGTTTCTGTACTGCTGTCAGATAGCTCTGCCCCTTGCTTATACATTCTTTATTAAAAGAATGTATAGAAACAAAGTTATCTTCTTGTCATTTTAATTTGCATCCAACAAAACATTGTGGAGCTCTTTTCTGAATGTGCCAAATTAAATTGAGGAAACTTTTCTTCTAAATGCTGAACTGAACGTAGGGAAGCCATCACATGACAGACCCAATTTCTGCTTTCTGAGCTGTGCAGGCTTGTTGGATATTCTTCAGTCTTCACTCTTAATTTAAAACTGAGACCAGCAAGCCAGCAGCTCTGTACTTCCTGCTGCAATTACTATGCATGAAGTCTAGACATTTTCCATAAATCCAGTCAGATTGCAGTTTTCCCTCAGGGGCAAAAAAAAAAAAAGGCAAAAGGAAACAGAAGCTGGGGAAACTCAATTACACTGACTCATAACAGCATTCTTCTTAATACATGAATTATGTGCTCTGAACAATTAGGCATTTAAAACATTTCTGGATTAAGGCTTTTGCTGTGTCTGTTCAAGATCATGCTTGTCACTTATCAGATCACTTATCAGATGCTTGAGACGCATTCTTTATTTTTAAGAACTACTGGGTTTTTTTCTGTAAATGTCAGTCTTACTCTGAAATATTTGGCAGGTCAGGATCAGAATGTTTTTGAAATTGTTGTCTAGTCTTTATAGGAAGTAGGCAATTTCTGGGCTGTATGGTCTAATATGATCAATCTGAAATTCTGATTTCTCGAAGTAAGCAGGATCACAATGTAGATGGAAATCATGTTGTAATCTGGAATCAACTATGATCGGCATGTGCTTTTTCTCTGAGCTTGTATAAATATACAGGCTTCAATTCCATCAGCATCTGCTGATGGGATATTGGACCTCTCAGTGTATAGAGCTGTGCGTAGTGACTAATACTATTTCCCTGATGGAATGTAAGGAGCAGGTGTGAGAGAGAGAGAATTATTATCCACCATGTATGGACGGTGGGTATCTACTTTTTAAAAAACATTTCCCATTCGGTGTTCTTCACTGCTCTATGAAGACGTATCAACTGTTGCCTGGCATTTATTATCAGTGAAGGAATTACTTTCTGTTGTGGGGTATGATCAAGCCTAAAGGATTAAATGAGGGGGATAATTGCAGTAGAAATAGCTGAATGTCAGCAACTGACTTCTTGGTTTCTTTTATTCAGTTGGCTCTGATCCAGAATTTGCCCGCTATGTTGCTGGGGTCAACCAGGCTATGCAACAAAAAAGGCAAGCACAGCATGTCCGTCGTCCAAGCAACACACGTAGCAACTGGCCTCTTCCTGATGATCCTCATAAAACCTGGCCCTTTCCCGAGTATTTCACAGAAGGGTAAGAGATTGGGCAAGCTACATATTTTTATTGTATATGAGGTTATTTTACACTCAAACTTGGCAGAATGTGGGAATACTAGGTGTTTTTTCCAATTGCTGCTGCATCTGTGAAAGCTGCACTTCATTATGTCAAGAGTGAGAAATCTGAGCCCTTCCTGCTTTGCTGATACTGAAGCACTGACATTGGTTTGATGTCGTCTTTAGAGAGGAATGTATACTGACTTTGACTCGAACAGAGGAAATAAGGAAGTTAAGGCACAGATTCATTCAGAACGGTTTTCTTTCAGTATTTTGAAAACGCTTAAGACCTAGTTTTGCCGAAGAGTGATGCTATTAAAGTTGCAGTGCCTGACTGAATTCAGCTTTCCAGATTTTAGCCACTTAATCTTACTACTATAAGGCAGGTACCTTACAGCAAGTACGTTAGTAGTTTTTTTCTCTCTTCCAGACAGAAGTGTTTCAGCATTCTCTGTCCATTTGTCCATGATGTATTAGCTGTGACTCTCAAGCTAGCTTATAACCAGTACAACAACTATGTGTTCTAGCTCAGTTTTGCAATGAAAAAGTCAAGCGCTTAGTAATTCCAAAACCAAGTATCGCTTGTTTCTCCTTCCTGACCAAGAGAGACACTTTTGATTTATATAGTTATTTTAGTAAAATACATACAAAGTGACTGTAACAGACAAAGCATTTGATGTGATTATTCAGAAGTAACTGAAAATACTTGTATTACTGGCATGTTTTACAAAGTATTGGATTTTTTTTGTGCTCTGAGGTTATCACCTGTGACAAAGATTCAGCGTAACTAGCGAGGGTATGCAGTCTGGACCAAACACTATAAATACAAAGACTAATACAACCAACCTTTTGTCTTACAGTGATGTGACAAATAGCTGGTCTGGTACTCAAGGAGACTCTGCCAGCTCAAGCGATGAGACGTCCTCAGCTAATGGAGACAGTTTGTTCTCCATGTTCTCAGGGCCAGACCTTGTTGCTGCTGTAAAGCAGAGAAGGTGAGCAAAATGAACAGAAGTACATACCGCTTCATAAGATTCTTCTTTTTTGATAATTTCATTTGAGTAGCCACACAAAGGAAATTCCTGCTAATTCGATGACTATACAAATGTCAGTTTACGTGCTACACTGACATGGATCAGTGTATGTGACCTAATGCTAGGGATTCCCAAATTGAATTATATTGGTAGCTGTCTCCTTATACAAACTAGCACCTCTGCAAATACCCAGTTGTTAGCTGCAATTCAGTATGCCTAGAAAAGATGTGATGCTTTCCCTCTTCCAAGATAATCTATTTTGGACGCCACTTCTTTCTAAACTACCGAGGCCTTAGACATCATCTTTGAATTGGTTTTCTAAACTGTGCACAGCTTTGTCATGCCCCTAACATTATGCATTGTGATGCCAGCAAGTTCCTATTTCCTGGCTTCTACTGCACCTTTGTGGCACTCAAGACAGACTGCTGATAATGTTGTGTAGACTTCCGTCTCCTTGCCTACTACCACCATTTCAGTAGTTGTAAATACCTGCCTATTTACTCCTTTATTTCTGATAATACAAAAAGAGGCTTCAAACTTAGTAACTGAAAAACTAAGCCAGGATTTTCAGCTATAAAAATTGACTTGAAAGTAGTAGTGCGAATTACAATTGCTTTCTGCTTTTCTAAAGGGCTGGAAGTTGGGTATCTTTGGAACCTCAGGGATTCCACAGTAGAGGGTAGTTAAGAATAATAAAAGGCACAAGATGAAGCATGAATTCCAACCCAATTCCAATCTGGGATCACTCTCCCAAACTGATTTTCAGAGCCTTTTCTAAAAATAAATGAAGCTACTTCTGTGGCCAAATACTCTATTTTTGTTTAGATCACAGAATAATTCAGAGTCAGTACATCTAGATACAAGATTGTCTGTCTGCTTTTTGGTGATAGGAAAGTCAATTTCCTGCATGTTATACCTGGATATTTTTGTATGCGTGGCCAGAAAGGAAGTATACTGGAATTGAAAGTAATGAGACTAAAGCAAGCAAGTTGAAAGGAGTTTACCAAAAGAGGAGCTGTTTTCTGAATCTTTACACTTACTGAGACTTTATATAGAGGGGATAGGAATTGACCTTCAATAAAAACTAAATTTAAGTTAATGGAAGAGAGCTGACTAACAAGCAGTCACAGAAGAAGTAGTAATTATGTATGTTTTTAAAGAAAGAAGCAGGGAAGGAAAACACAACAGACGAATAATGGGTGAATTAATCTGCCAAGCCATCAGGTATCTAGAGATTGATCATGGAGCAAGAACAACAAATGCTTTATGTAGTGTTCTGAAGAGAAGAGCAGAAGTAAGTTGCCAAAGTGTGCACCTCATTAAATAAAAACTTAAGCTGAAGTAACAGCACTACTGTTTTATGTTACTTTTAGAAAGAAAAACATTCTACAAGGGAGGGCCTGACAAAATACCAGAGCTAAAACTGTACCGGAAAAGAAGGCAAAAGGGTTGAGCGCTCTAAAGCTGACCTGCAAAGGACTGCTTACCTATGGAGGCCCGATTGGAGCATGGTGATTTTTTTTTAAAAATTAAGGATGAAAGGATAGAAGATTCCACTTTAATCTAAACCCACCCATCTCACCCCACCCAAATGAACAAACCCCCCCAAAACAACCAAAAAACCAAAAAAAGAACCTTCCAGAATGCACACGTTGTCAAGGACTTATATTTGAAATTAGGTATTAGGTCACAAGTTTATACCAAAGGTACAACGTTTTTCCTCAGTAAAGTCACTGTGCTTCAACAGATGTTTCACTTGCTCAACTGTTTCGTCTTGTCTGTAAAGTTATTTCAGAAAAGATACTTAAAAAGAACACCACACAACAAAAAACAAGCAAACCCACAAAAAAACAAAACGAGAGCAGAGCAGGTAACAGAAGAAGAAAGGCAATTTCTGGCAGATCTTCCAAAGTGGGCAAAGAGTGGGCAAAAAGACTAGCCTATTTTCCAAAACTGTGTGCATGTTGCTGAAGCTGTAGCTCAAAGAACCATTGCACTGTCAAGGCTCTGACAGTATTCAGTAATTAATTTCTTTCTGCATTGCTGCTTTTACCTGTACTGAGCAAAAATACATGAAACAAAATGAAGCGTCACTACACATTCTAGGCTGTCAAATATGACATACTGAAACTACAGAATAGTATATGCCCGTGGCAGATTAATGTGACTCATTTTAAAAAAAAAAAAGTAAATGTTACTATTTATTTTGGGCAGAAAACACAGCAGTGGCGAGCAGGAACCTAGTACGCTACCATCACCACCTCTTCTTTCTGCAGCAGATGACCGTAATCAGGTAAGCTAAAATAGCTTTGCTTAGTCATTTTTCCTGTTTGCATTTTGAGGTGGTTTATACTAGGAAAACAACTAGAACAGCATCTGTTATCTCCAGATTGCTTACCCCTGCTAAAACCCAAACCATTTGCACTGAAGTAGTACTAGATGCTTTTATCAAAGTTACCAAATTTTAATATTAAAATTGGACATCACTTTTCTTTTTCCCTTGCAGCAGAAATTATCACAAAACCAAAGATTTCAAGTTAAGCAAAGAGGCAAGGCAGTCAATTTTAATCATCTATGCAGAGAAAACTAAAGTATCACCAGATTTATTACCACCTTTCTTGCTGGAAATTCTGACTTAGCGCTGGGCTATTATGTGTCCAGCAAACGTGCTGAAGTAAATAAAAAGTTTTTTCAATAGGCAGGTATTTTAAGAATTGAGAGTGTTCTACATATGTATCAATTCTGCTTTCAAATGTAAATTAATCTTATGAAAATGTCTTGAGCGATTAAAACGACATGTTAAGTATTGTCTGAAGAAAGAAGTGTTTTGGTATTAAAATACCAAAAAAAACACAAAACCACCTCATTTTGTTTTCTCAGGATAATAAAACCAAAACCTGGCCTCCAAAGGCACCCTGGCAGCATACGTCCTCTGTCACGAACACGCTACCTGGTCAGAGTACATCTTTGTATCCTATGAGCAGCCCTGTCAGCCAGTGGAGCGACACGATGCAGATCCTCCAGTCACCCGTGTGGGCAGCAGCCAACGACTGTGCTCCAGCTGCAGCAATCTCCTCTAACTTTGCCTATGCGCAGCAGCAGCAATCACAACAACAGGCTTCCCAGCACAAACAGATGAATAAGGGCTTTAAATCTTTTCCAGTAAAGCACGAACGCAGACCATCTTACCTGCATCAGTACTAACTGCTTTTCATATTGGAAAATGCAGCACAGGGCCAAACATAAATTACATATACTTGGTTTCACAATTGTGTATTGGCTATGTCCTGTTTATCTCATTAACTACGGAACTGAGGGGGTTTGGGTGAGATATGCAAACTCTTGAATTCTGATTTACAGTGCTGAGCAAATATGGCCAATATGTATGTTTGTTTGTATGCGAAAACAGCCCAAAACTGTGATGTAGAAATGCTTTCAAAAATGTGTATATTGCCTTTACTTTCAAAACCTTTTTTTTTTAAAGAACTGCTGAAGGACTACCATACAAGAAACACTGTATTTTATAGCTATTTTTCATATAGATCTATAGTTAAACATCTTACTGAAACACATTGAATATGCTGAAGCAAATATATAGTGGTCACTTTGCTCAACACTGTGTTCAAATGTATAATGGACAAGCTGTAAAGCCTTTCTCCATAAATGGCCTGTGGGCAGCTTTTTTTAAATGAAGTGTAAGAGCAGCTTTTTGTGTGCCACACAAGTGAGTTCCTTATGAAACTGTTGCAGAAACAGGTGTGAAATTCAGTTTTGTGGTACTAAGCGAAGATCAGCAGAACCACTCAACCTTGTGTCACAATGTTATCTGAGCTGCTTAAAGTAGACGGCATCTGTGTGGATAATATGACACTGGTTTTCAAATAAATACACCGTTTCTTACCGCTTCATTTGGCCAAAGGCATTATCCACACAGTGCTCCTTAAGTGTGTGAAAGTATAGCCTAAAAGACTACTTGCATATATTTAAAGTCTTATTTCAGATGCTACAGTTGATTAAAAATTGTGAGCTGGCTCAGAAGATACTAAACTGAAATGTGGGGTAGCAGTTAGTTAAAAGAACTTTTTTTTTAAAAAAGGATAAAGTAATTATTTGCAGTCAGTATGTGCCATTAAGTGAACCTGTGGAATTAGGAATAATCTTCCAACCAAAGTGGATCCAGGAGAGTGACTGGTGCTTAAAAATTGAAGAACAATGGTAAATATATGTATAGCTATCCCACTGTATATTAATTGAGATGACAGAAGATTCTTTATATAGTTAGAGCTTATTTAAATTTTCATATTTCATCTTTGAAAGAGTCTAAAAACCACAATATTTTCTGGTATAAGAGTTTTGACAGTATTAATCTTATTTTTGTATTTTTCTTAAGTCATATCATTCTAATATGTTAACTACTAGTAAAATGGGTTATTAGTTCTAACTATATAATTTTTCAATGAAGATAAAGCACATTTGTTGTTTTTGTTTTTACAAACTAAGTACATCTATATCTAAAGATACCAAAAAATAAATACATTAGATTATATATATATATATATAAAAAAAAAGTATACACAACACTAAAACTATTAAACATTTGGGTATTTAAAACCCATTCACCTTTTTTGTTTGTATGGTGACGGGCTATATTTGCAGGCCCAGATTGTTACCTTTTGTGCTGTTTGAGGATGCCAATGTTGCCTGTATTTATGATATTGTCACCATGTTTTCTGGAACTTCATACTTACCATGTTTACAAAGATTTGTTTTCTGTACATAGACTTTTTACAGTAATGTGCTTTGCACAATCAGTGTGGCTTCTGTCTGTAAATTGTTAATGGTCTGTACTACTATAATTTTGAAAACCCTCTGCTGAAAATGTGTTTATTTAACTTGATGAATGGTTTTGAGTTTCCTAAATCTTGTCATTTAGATCTAATATTAAATCCTAAATTTGGTTGTACTTACTGGTTATTCATAATAAGACCAAAATGGAAGTTAATGAAAGCACTTCCTTTTGAACCTTTTCTAACAAGTGCCAAAATTATTGCTATAGTTTTTGCAGTTTTATTCATAATCACAAATACTGGCAAGTTTCTGGACCTACATAAGTGAGTTGCAAAAACACAGAAAGTTTGTCCGCATTTTGACAACGTAGGTGCTACTCTGTCCTTTGCTTCCGATCGTTCTGAACACTGGTAATTTTAAGAATTGTTGCACTTGGCCAATGAGTCTTGCCATTAAACTTCACTTACACTGCCAAGTGCAAGGGTTTGGTGCTTAGTTAATTTACCCTTATTGCAGTGCTTCTTGTGAATAGCTAAATGCTTCTGAACTGGAACTGTACATTTTGTATTTTAAAGCTTCTGTAAAAGTAAACTATTTGCTTTATTAAAGATATACATTTAATAGGTCATAGCTGTTTAAAATACGCACCTTGCTGAAAACGAGCAGCACCTTAAACTGTAACTTTGGTTTGTAAACAAAGATCTTATTTCATTAACATGGGATTATTTAACAGTTTGAAAATTGTCAACTGCCTACTTACTGACTCATATAAAAATGAACTTTATGCACTGTACAATCTGAAGCATCTGTAAGGCTACTTTTTCAAGTAGGTTGCACTGAAGAATACGATACGGAAGATACCTTAGCAGCAGCTTTGCACTAGCAGTGCAGCTGAACGTTGACAAAACGAAGTTACTTGAGTTTGTAGCAATTACAGAGTGAACAGTTTTGATGGTAGCAAGTGAAAAACTCCTCCACACTCTCCCCCCCAAGAGAATTATTAGCAAGGCTATTAGTTTAGCTTATGTTAATCATGCCACTGAAATGTAAGCTGTGCTCTTTGTGGATAAATGTACACCAGCACACAGCTGACCATAAATGCTCACAAATACCCAGGAAGCATATGAATCCATTTTGATTACACAAGAATTTACTTGTTTACAGAGCATTTCAAGCAAAAAGGAAAAGTCTTGACACAACTAGGGCAAACACACAGCCTTCTCTCACTGAAATACAGGCTTGATTTCTCCCTTGCACTTTGTTGCTCTAAGTTATGCAACACTCCCATCTTTCCTAGAAAAGGTATTTCTATTTCACTAAATCACTGAGCTGCTGCTCCTCTGTTAACAGGTTACATTAATCCAGAATATACTATAATTTACAAGGAACATCTTCAGTTTATTAAGTGCAATTCCTATGATGCAAGATAGAAAACAGTCTACTACTTATATATATGGCAATGTGTAACTGCCTTTGTCATGCTGGAGATAGATAGAAGTTACTTAGCTAATGCTTACCCTACTGTCACACAACCTCAGTTGTGAAATGGTCTCTGCTTCAATGAGACTGCAGGAGTCCTAAAGGTGTCTCTGGTAGTGCTGTCCTGACAACCAGGCTATTTTTGGAAATATACTACATGGAGTCTTTTGCGGGGGGGAAAGGAAGTGTGATAAATAATCATCACCCTTAAGTTTTGCTTACAGTAACGGGGGAAAAAAATTGCCTAATATTCCATCAAAAACAATGTTTGTGTTTTTAACATAAAGGCATGGATGACTTTACCTGCCTTTCAAGACCACAGCTGCTCAGCTCTCAAAATGAGACTCTAAACTAAGTATTTCTACAGATTCTTAAAGCATCACTGCTCATGTCCAGGTATGTGCAGTCAGTCTACAGTCTTCGTGCTGGGTGGCGTCGCATCAGCAATTGTAGCTAAATAAATGAGGTTTCTATGCAGGATATGCTGGTACCTATGAGAGGAAGAAATACATTATCTGGAAAATGTGTAATTTTCTAGCAAACTACTCACCCTTTAATCATCACTTTGTAATCTGATCACTAGTTGCTGTTAGTGAAAGAAATAGCAAACTAAAAATAATAAAGAAGTGTCAGGGCAAACACCTTCCTATCCTGTTTATATGTTCTAAAGCCCAATATACTGCACTGAACTGCATTCTAACAAAGCACCTTCTACTTGCGAACTTCGACAGTAAACATACACGTTAAGATCTTTGTATGATCAATACTGAAAAGATGCAGAACCGCAAGAAAGCAGCTCAGGGGCAGGAGATGACAAAGCTCCACTACTGGGCTGAACATACGGCCAGCATGCACCCAGGCCCGGCAGCCGCTGCCAACCTGTCTGTCGTTCGGGTCTCTGCAAGTCTAAGGGCTGAACTGCTGCAAAGCTACAAGCAGAGTACCCTCGCCCTGCTGCAAGTACCAGTCAGGGTTGCACACACCCCGGCGGGAAGGAAAGGCCTGCCCAACAGAGCTGGTTTTCATATTCACACAGAACAAAAACCTTGACAGAAAGGAGGACGCACAGGGTTTATTCTATACAGCGGCATTTCTGCTTTACACATCTATAAAAGCAGTTTTTAGGAAGTCTCCTAAGAGGTACAACCGCATTTTCTTCCTAACGCCAGGGAAGCTCTGGACAGCAGGAACCGCGCTGCGCTGTCGTTAGGAATTTAGGGACTTCGAGGCTCCCGGGCTTCCGGGTTGCCCCGGAGGAGGCCACGCCACGCCACGCAGGCGCCGGCACCCGCGGGGGCTCACTTACTGCACGCAGTCGGTGGCCCGGCCCTTGCTCTGGTACTCCACGATGCACCGGATCAGCTGGTCGTTCTCCTCCAGCAACTAGAGCACAGGAGCGCGCCGTCACCGCCTGCCTC